TCCAGCATCACGCAAGGTCATTCGGGCTAAACTTGAAGGTGGAGGAGATCCCGATTGAGGATTTGGTGAGCAAAATCAAAAAGGTGAACAAGAGAGGGGGAATGAGAGAATTTCTAGCCTTCAACTCTATGGTGGGGCTTCCTCATATGAGGAGGAGAAGAAGCAGAGGACTTCTCATGGAATTCCTAAGGCTAGCTAAGGATTTGTTAGCCAATTCGGCAAGAGGTATCATAACTTTTGGTGACGGAGATGCATGCGCGAAAAGGGAAAATGACTCGAGTTTCAGCTCCTTGTTTGACTCGAATGTTGTACACTACAAAGCCTTGTTAGAGTCTTTGGAATCGAGCTTCCCGATCCATCTAGGAGAGGCAAGGATGGTGATGGAGTTGATGTTTGTGGCGCCATATGTGTCTTCTCAAGCTTGGTTCGAGAAGTGGAACGAATCGAGAGAAGGTGGAAATCTTCAGCCCTGGTTCGGGCTGGAGGGTAGGAGAGTGAGCAGGGAAATGTTAATGGAGGCCAAAGAAATTGTGGGAGCAGATAGCTCGTATGGAGTGAGAGTTGGAGGAGAGGACGGGAATGAGATGGCTTTGGAATGGAATTCAATTCCTTTGATTAGAGTTGAAACCTGGACAAACCGAAGCTAGCTAGAAATGGATTTTTTTTTTTTTTGACTCTCTTTTCAATTTTTTTACAGCAAATGTGTAGACTGCTGGAGATTTACCATAAGATGATTTTGTACAGATTCATTACATTTTATGTTGTAAAGAAGATCAACTTAGTTGGTGGATTATTTGGTATATAAATTTCACTCTATGAAATCACAAAATTCACTCTATGAACATAGTATCAATTATTATAAAGTAAATTACATTTTAAGGGATTAGTGGGAAATCCAGGGTCTATATTTTGCTGACATGGCAAACAATAGTTCTAATTGATTTAAAAAAATTATGCCAATATATTAAATAAAAGGGTAAAAGACTGTTTACTACCCTCATGTTTCGTGGTTTTCAACATTTAGTACATCAAGTTTTTTTCGTCTCAGAGTCATACCTAAAGTGTAAATTTTAGGACAGTCTCATACATCCGTGAGTCAAAGTGTTAAGTATTCCGTTAACTGATGATGTGGCGCCCACGTGGACAATGACTGGGCGCCACCTGTAATAAGGGGTCCACTTGGAATTAAAAATTCAAAAAAAAAAATTAAAATAATTACTTTTAAAAATATTATATTAAAAAAAACAAAAGCCCAAAACCAACCCAGAACCCCCTTCCCCCATCCCCGCCCTCCACCCCTCATCCCCTCCACCCCTTTCATCTTCTCCACCTGAGCACCCGGGTATTAAACGTTAAACATTACAAAATTACAAAAAAAAATAAATAAATAAAGGTGTTTCTTCCTCAAACCCCCGACCCCTTTCCCTTCTCCCTCCGTTCTCCCTCCCTTCTATTCGTTGCACATCCATCGGGCCGAATCGATTCCTTCAACTTCAAAACCAGAAATCTCGCCTCAACGACGAGCTTTGACCCACATAAATCCTCAACCACCACATTTAAATTCCCCAAATCGCACCCAAATCGAAACCCATTCATGGCGTTAAAGAAATCGGGGTGGTGGGAATGAGTTGCAAATCTGGAGGAAGGAGTTTCAGATCTGGGTGGAAGACGGGCCGCCATGAAAGGAGGAAGGAGTTGCAGATCTGAAGGAAGAACTCGTGGGTGAGTTGGAAGGCGAAACAGTTGAGGTTCGAGTGAAGATGTGACTCGGGCGAGTTCTGTTGAATGGTGCAGACCCGGAGGAGGTGGGCCTGGTCAACCGGGGATGGGGTGGCAGCGGCGACTTGGGTGGGAGCAGAGGAAAGAAGGGAGGGAGAAGGGAGGGAGAAGGGAGGGAGGGTCATTTGGGGGGGGTTCAGGAAGAAGACAACTTCTAAATATATATATATATATATATATATATAATATTTTTAAAATTAATTATTTTAATATATTTTTGAATTTTTAATTCCAAGTGGACCCCTTATTGACACGTGGCGCCCAGTCATTGTCCACGTGGGCGCCACATCATCAATTAACAGAAGACTTAACAGTTTGACTAACAGATGTATGAGACTGTCCCAAATTTACACTTTAGGTATGACTCTGAGACGAAAAAAACTTGATGTACTAAATGTTGAAAACCACGAAACATGAGGATAGTAAACAATCTTTTACCCTAAATAAAAAGAGTGACCCCCCAGTCAATTCACCAAATCCATCGCCTTTCCCAACCTCCCCTCCTTTTCCCATCCTCTTCTATTCTCTCCTTTTATATTCTTTATTTTGTCTCTCTTTGTATAAAAAATTAATAAGATATTTACGTGGTTTAACCGTGACCGTTCAAATAGGAGGGGATGGAAGGGAAGGGAAAAAAAGAGGAAAGAGAATCCTACTCCTTCTTGCTGACCTCCCCCTCTCCGTCACTAACCTCCCCAAATTCACCGTCTTCCCCAACGCTACTCGCAGACGGCAGTCTTTTCATCACTCTCTTCTCTGCAACAGGAACTAGAAATTGTTATGTTATTTTATTTTTGTGTTTCAAACGGTTACTTATGAAATTTTCGTCGAGTCAAGTTTTTAATAATACTTAATTTGGTGTCGGGCAACAAAACAGAGTTAAGATATTTTCGTAGGGTCAAAACGGTTAGCGCATCTTTATCATATAATTTTTTTGGTCCGGCAAATTATGTTTGTTTGACAAATGACTTTATTTTGTTGAGTAAGACTTTGAGCGACGACCTTTACGTGGCTAACTCTTTTTAACAAATGTCCGTCGCCTAAAGTTTCAGACGACAAAACCCCATTTGACCCCACACAAGTGTTTCGTCATCGATGTATTTTATTTTGTGGTTACGAGGCAATAAGAAAATAAGATCAAATAATACCGATAAGCTCATAATTTGTTAGGCAAAAACTTGATCTAAACCTAATATTTTACTGAGCATCAGTTTTGTCTTTCTGCATTTTATTATTCAAATCAGCGTATACTTGAAGATAATTGAAGCCCTTTGGATGGGGAAGAAGAGCTTGACCAAGAACATGTACTCTAAACTTGTTTTATCTCTTGACTAATTATTATATGGCTCGTTCTTTGATTGAATACCAGAGATTAGTATCTTCTGATCAGCAAACATTATTTCCGGGCATCATGATTTATTTCCATCTAGCTACTTGAGGACAAGTGTGAAGATGAATATAATTATCTAGCCTCTATTCCCATATACTTATGTGAAAAGATAATTACAATAACTAACATGTGAATTTGATGCTTAATTATATATATATTTTTTTGTTTCGGCGGTCAACTGATAGGATTATCGAGGTCGGCTATAAACTACTTGTCTTAATTAGGTCATGAACCATGAACATGCTTCATGCACTGCTTTGGACTGCTAGACTTTATGCCCAATTAGGAATGTATTGCAGCATCATAATCTTCTTAAAATTCATGAGGAATTTTTTGGAGATATTTTCGCGGATGAGGGATACACCAGTATTATTTATTAATGTTAATATTCAAATATGACTATGTTGTTACCAAAATCCATTAGAACATTTTTCTTAATATCCACAGAAACATTAAAGAATAACCTTTCAGAAATAATGTAAGCAAACACTCATTATGTTTAATTGGTTTTGTGAATTCAAAAACGATCATAAAACTTATTTTTGTGTCATTTGTTGAACCATAAGATTTGTAAATTTATGTAGGACATTTTAGAGATGTTTTAGAGAATACAAGTAAGACACATTAATATGTGACATGTTGATTATAAAAAATAAAAAAAATCTGTCATATAGGTATATAAATACAATTAACCTATGATATAGGTTGATTATAAAAATTAAAAATAAAATCTATAAATTGGATTTAAAGTAGGAGGAAGAACAAGAAATAACCAATAAATAAATAAAAAGAAATAATCAAGGAGATAATTAGGAAGAAATTTGATTTTATATTAAATCTTATCATTAAAAAGATAATTATTGATAATTAAATAATTAAATTTAAAAAATTATAACTTATTATAATAAACTAGACTATTCTTATTATTGGCTTAAAAAATTAGACTAACCTAGAAGGAACACTTTACATATCAAGAATTTGTTAAAGTTAATAATCAAGTTAGGACAAAGATTTCTTCTTCAAAATATATATATGAAAGTGAGTTTTGATGGAAACCATTTGGGAATTAAATTAATAAAGCTCTTTTAAGGGGTAAAAGAGCTAGCTAGGTGTCACTGTATGGAAGGATGACCAGGAGTCTGTGTCACCAAGTTGGACTTATACCCTTGGTCACATTGAGGTCTTTAAAATGGAGTAGGATTATTTCTTCTCTTTGTTTCCCTCCTATTTTCTATTTCTCTCATATTTGAACTGTCATGGTTAAATCACGTCAACTTTTAATATTAATTTTTTATAGTAAGAAAAAGACAAATTAAGAGAATGTGAGAGGAGAAAATAGAAGGGGATGGAAAGAGGGAAAAAAAGTTCTAGTCCCTTTTAAATACACAATAAGTCATTAAATAGTTAATTAATTAAGGTTATATTTCTTATAATGAAAGGTAATTACGTTGAAAACACAGGAATCATTATTTATCTTTTTTTTTTTATTAAAATACAAAGGATACGTGTGACGTATAAGTCACCACCTCAAGAAGCAGCCAAAACAGCAAAGAGAATTGAGTTGGGAACTTTTTGTTGAATTACGTGTACAGTGTGTAGAAAGTTGGTGAAAGCAATTGGCATTTGTTTATGAAGATAACATAGTGATTAATATTCTTAATAATAATTCTCCATTTCAATAATTTTTTTTTAAAACTATTTTATGCTTAATTAATTTGTCATTTCGTTGTCACCAATCAATATATAATGATGGATTAAAATTCATCAGCAAATAAAACCCAAGAGAAAAAGTCGTCAAACCCTCTAAAAATATTCACCAATAAAGAAAACGATGATGCAATCAGAGATGAACTTTCAGACCTTCTGGCCATGCCTGAATGAAACAAATTCAACTTTGGATACAAATGAATACACTGAGCAGATGGGGAGCTCTGAATTTTCTTCGATTTTCATGCCATCGGACGAATTTTCAGAAACTTCTAATTCTTTTCCATTTTCAACCATGTTTTCTGGTGAATCTGAACAACTTGCAGATTGTGATCATCTCCTGCAAGCCACATGGATGGCGGAAGAGGAATTTACCATAGAGTTGGGAGGATTCGAGACGAATTATTTGATGGGTGAGATAGAAAATATGTATGCCTCATGTGTGGAAGGCAGTGAGGGAAGCAATACTCTTCCTTCACCGCAATTTTCTGTTGAAGGAAATGGTGTGTGGAGTCCAAACTCTTTTGTGACTTCTGAGGCATCCTCCATGGATGTGACATCCGTCCAACAATCAATAACCCTGGCGAGAGACGAGATGGAAATCAACAGCGAAGTGAGAATTCGCCATATGCTCAAGGCGTTCAACGAGGCCATGGAGATGGGGCAGAGGAAGCTAGAGGAGGTAATCATGAGATTCCTTGCGGAGAAAGTAAACCCACTTGGTCAATCTCTTGAGCGCCTTGCATTCTACTTATGTCTAGGATTTGTTGATAATCAGCAGGGAGACTATTTGAAACAAGAATCCTTCAAGAATTTTGAGGACGCTTTCAACATGTTCTACCAAATCTTCCCTTTTGGTAGATTTGCTCACTACGCAGCAAACACCGCGATCCTCGAGGCTGTCCCGGAGGATGTAGAGACGGTTCATGTAGTGGAATTTGATATCGGTGAAGGGGTTCAATTGCCTCAGCTGATTGAGGCTGTGGCAAAGAGAAACAAAACACTTAAAGTGACAGCAATTAAATGGGATGTGGAAGAGAGTGATGAGGTTGCTCCTCCACAGTGGAGATTTGAGGAGACGAAAAGGCAACTCCAGCATCACGCAAGGTCATTCGGGCTAAACTTGAAGGTGGAGGAGATCCCGATTGAGGATTTGGTGAGCAATCAAAAAGGTGAACAAGAGAGGGGGAATGAGAGAATTTCTAGCCTTCAACTCTATGGTGGGGCTTCCTCATATGAGGAGGAGAAGAAGCAGAGGACTTCTCATGGAATTCCTAAGGCTAGCTAAGGATTTGTTAACCAATTCGGCAAGAGGTATCATAACTTTTGGTGACGGAGATGCTTACGCGAGAAGGGGAAATGACTCGAGTTTCATCTCCTTCTTTGACGCGAATGTTGTGCACTACGAAGCCTTGTTAGGGTCTTTGGAATCGAGCTTCCCAAGCCATCTAGGAGAGGCAAGGATGGTGATGGAGTTGATGTTTGTGGCGCCGTATGTGTCTTCTCAGGCTTGGTTCGAGAAGTGGAACGAAGCAAGAGAAGCTGGAAATCTTCATCCCTGGTTCGGGCTGGAGGGTAGGAGAGTGAGCAGGGAAATGTTAATGGAGGCCAAAGAAATTGTGGGAGCAGATAGCTCGTATGGAGTGAGAGTTGGAGGAGAGAATGGGAATGAGATGACATTGGAATGGAATTCAATTCCTTTGATCAGAGTTGAAACCTGGACAAACCGAAGCTAGCTAGAAATGGATTATTATTATTTTTTTACTCTCCCTTCAAATTATTGCAGCAAATGTGTAGACTACTGGAGATTTACCATAAGAAGTTTTTGTACAGATTCTTTAAATTTTATATTGTAAAAAGAAGATCAACTAAATTGGTGGATTATTTGGTATATAAATTTGACTTTATGACACTCGCAAAGCTCACTTTATGAACAAAGTATCAATTATTATAAAGTAAAATACATTTTAATCTCAACTTTGAGTTAAATAACAAATTCATTCCTCATCTTTTGAACATTGCAATTGTTGTGATTGGCTCATATTTTGAGCTAGCAACAATAAGGTAACCCGTGAGTGGCTTTGGGGCATGATTAAAAGGCAAAGCAAGGAGCATGTTTTTGTGGAAGACAATCATGATTGTGTTTGTAGTCATCATTTAAAGTTGCTACAAAGGACAAAGCAAGAGTAGGCTTGCTTTTGAACTTTGGAAACATGACCCCGTAAACTTTGGTTTTCTTTATGCAAGTGTGCTTGCTTTCTTTGTAATTTAATGTAAAGAAAGAAAGGGGTTGCATGTTAAGTAGGGCTTGCCGAGTGAGAGGAGAGAATTGTGGGAACATCCAGAGGAGAACACAAGTGGTAGAAAAATATAGAGTGAGAGTGAGAAACTCTTGGGGAGAGTGAATCTCTTAGTAAAATTCTGTGAGGGTACAAGGGATTGGGGTTTGGGTTATGTCGATTTAACTCAAGTGTATCTTGTACTAGTTATTCTCATAGTGAAGAGCAATATCTCTCGGAGGACGTAGGCATGTTTTTGCCGAACCTCGTAATTCTCTTGGTGTCTTTATTTCTTGTATTTTAAATTGTTCAACTGTGGGTTTATAAATTGGTGAGATAACAGGCCAAAGCACAACAATTGGTATCAGAGCTTTGTTAGAAGCTTTGGTTCATTGACGGTTCAGTTTTTTATTCACCATGATGACTACAAACATGTCATTTTCAGTTGAGAAGTTTAATGGGAAAGACAGTTTTACTCTTTGGCAAATGAGAGTAAAGGATGTCTTGACTCAACAAGGCTTGGCTAGAGCTTTGAAGGGAAAAGATGGGAAGCCTCAAGAAATGACAGATGACCAGTGGGAGGAGCTGGAGGCGCGTTGTGTTAGCACGATTCGACACTGTATAGCTGATAACATTATCAATAATGTTATGGATGAAGATTTTGCGCCTGCACTTTGGGAGAAGTTGGAAAAACTCTATATTGCTAAGAGTTTGACCAACAAGTTGCATTTGAAGCGGAAACTGTACAAGCTAAAGATGGATAAAGGTGGGAATCTCATGGACCACATGAATGAGTTCAACGGATACTTGGATCAATTGCGGAAAGTTGATGTTAAGGTTGAGGAAGAAGACAAAGCCCTCTTACTTCTTACCTCACTTCCAGATTCGTATGAAAATCTTGTGACAACCTTACTACATGGAAAAGATACAGTAAGTTTGGAGCAGGTGCAAGCTTCTTTGGTGTCTTATGATACACAAAAGAAGAAGACCATTGTTGATGGTGGGCACGAGACTGCTTTAGCTGTTCAAGGTTGGAATCATGGAAGAAAATTGGGAAAAGGATCTGAGAGAGACAACAGGTTCAAATCCGGTTCCGGAGGCAAAGGTCTACAATGCTACAACTGCAAAGAATTCGGGCATAAAAAGAAAAATTGTCCTTTGAGAAACAGAAAGGATGATCTTGGTCCGGGTTGTAGCAATTTTGTGGCGGAAGACTTCGAGTATGCCCTCTAGGTACTCGAAGCAACACTTCTCCTGGTGATGTTTAGTCTCAAGTGTTGCAGGGGTTTTGCAACAGGTGGAGCTATGGGATTCACAGGTGATGAGATGGTCATGAGGTAGGAGGAAGTGTGGGAATTTTGTCTGGCTCGATGGGTTGTTACTGGAAACGGGCTCGCTGACGAGTTTCCAGGTTGCAGACAATGAAGAGGAGGAAAACCTGCTGGATGAGACGAGGATGTGTCGAGATCCTGTCTGAAGCTAAATTGTGATTTTTAGCTTGCAGCAGCTGCACATGCATTGGCAGTGACTGAATCGAAACGGGACCAAAGAGGTTGATTCAGGGTGTGTATACTGGTACGTAAGGCCAATGGACTTTGGTGATGGGTGCAAGGATTTTTTCACTGTATATTCGCCAAGGTGGAGATTGTTGTGATTGACTCATATTTTGAGCTAGCAACAATAAGGTAACCCGTGAGTGGCTTTGGGGCATGATTAAAAGGCAAAGCAAGGAGCATGTTTTGTGGAAGACAATCATGATTGTGTTTGTAGTCATCATTTAAAGTTGCTACAAAGGACAAAGCAAGAGTAGGCTTGCTTTTGAACTTTGGAAACATGACCCCGTAAACTTTGGTTTTCTTTATGCAAGTGTGCTTGCTTTCTTTGTAATTTAATGTAAAGAAAGAAAGGGGTTGCATGTTAAGTAGGGCTTGCCGAGTGAGAGGGGGGGAGAATTGTGGGAACATCCAGAGGAGAACACAAGTGGTAGAAAAATATAGAGTGAGAGTGAGAAACTCTTGGGGAGAGCGAGTCTCTTAGTAAAATTCTGTGAGGGTACAAGTGATTGGGGTTTGGGTTATGTCGATTTAACTCAAGTGTATCTTGTACTAGTTATTCTCATAGTGAAGAGCAATATCTCTCGGAGGACGTAGGCAGGTTTTTGCCGAACCTCGTAATTCTCTTGGTGTCTTTATTTCTTGTATTTTAAATTGTTCAACTGTGGGTTTATAAGTTGGTGAGATAACAGGCCAAAACACAACGGCAATGTCATACATTAATTTACGAATTCGTTGCAATATTAGATCTCCTTTAATAACCCATCAAATTAGTTGTTAAGTTATGACATGATAAATGCAGATCTATATTTTGTTGACATGACAATCAATTGTACTATGTTGATTACAAAATAAATTTTATATTTTAAAATTAAAAAACAATTAAGCCAATATATTAAATAAAAAGAGTGGACCTTCTGTCAATTCATTGAATCCACCGTCTTCCCCAATATTACTTGTAGATGGCATTCTCGTTGTCACTCTCTTCTCTGCAACGGGAGCCAGAAATTTTTATTTATTTTATTTTTGTGTTTCAAACGGTTACCGATGAAATTTTCATCGAGTCCAGTTTGTAATAGTATTTAATTTGGTGTGGGGGCAACGAAACGATATCATTGAGTAAGATATTTTCGTTGGGTCAAGGCGGTAAGCATACCTTTTACCAAACGCTTTTTTTTCGTCGGCCAAACTCAATTTTGTTGACAAATGACTTCTTTTCATTGGATAACACTTTGAGCGACCACTTTTGTGTGACAACTTTTTTATACGATTGTTCATTGCCTAAAGTTTCAGACGACGAAACCCCATTTGACCCCCCAAAAAAAATTTCGTCTATCAATTTTTATTTTTATTTTTTAGTGATGAGGCAATAAAAAAAGATCAAATAATACCGACAAGTGTATAATTAATGAGACAAATATTTTACTGAGCATCAGTTTTGTCCTTCTGCATTTTATTATTCAAATCAACATACTTGAAGATAATTGAAGCCTTTTGGATAGGGAAGAAGAGCTTGACCAAGAACATGTACTCCAAACTTGTTTTATCTGTTGACTGATTATATGGCTCGTTCTTTGATTGAATGCCAGAGATTAGTATCTTCTGATTAGCAAACATTATTTCCCGGCATCATGATTTATTTCTATCTAGCTAGTTGAGGACAGGTGTGAAGATGAATATAATAATTAATCTAGCTTCTATTCCCATATACTTATGTGACAAGATAATTACAATAACTAACATGTCAATTTGATGCTTAATTATTAGGCATATATATACTTTTTGTTTCGGCGGCCAACTGACAGCTAGGATTATCGAGGTCGGATTTAAACCACTTGTCTTAATTAGGTCATGAACCATGAACATGCTTCATGCACTGCTTTGGACTGCTAGACTTAATGCCCAGTTAGGAATGTATTGCAGCATCATAATCTTCTTAAAATTCATGAGGGATTTTTGGAGATATTTTCGCCGATGAAGGACACACCAGTATTCTTTGATGTTTTTTAATATTCAAAAATGACTATGTTGTTACCAAAAAAATTATCTGTAATATTCAAATATGACTATGTTGTTACCAAAATCCATTAGAACATTTTTCTTAATATCCACAGAAATATTAAAGAATAAGCTTTCATAAATAATGTAACCAAACACTCATTGTTTTTAATTGGTTTTGTTAATTTCTACAAAAACAATCATAAAACTTATTTTGTGTCATTTTTGTTGAACCGTAAGATTTGTAAAATTTATGTAGGACATTTTAGAGATGTTTTGACCAACAAAACGACGGGCCTTACAAATTCTTTTTACCAAGTTTTTTGTTTTTGTTTTTGTGCTTAAATATTCAATAAAAATGTACTTATAAGCAGTTTACAAACGGGCTATAGCATTTTCCTTAAATGCGAAAGAAAAAGAAATTAATAAATCTGAGTTGTTAAAGTTTGGCCTTGATC